TCTCTTTACAAATCCATCTGCAACCTCACACTCTTTGCAGCCAGTAGACCTCCAATTTCCAACCTGGAGGTATTCTTGTCAGTTTATCCTCATTTGTATCTCAGCCAGGGCTGGGATTTTAGTTCCCTTACCTTTCATATGAAATATTCCTTTCTAACCCTCTGCAGAAAACAAGATAACCTTTTTATTGGATAGTATCCACAGAATGATTAATGAGGAAGGTAAGTGCCCATTTGATGCTCTAACCTGCGGGTAGAATGAGAGCTCAGAAATACTCATTCATTGTTCTTCCTGTTCAAGCTGTGATCTTGGCCTGTATCCTTTGGTAGGCTAAATGTTGAGGATTTCAGTTCAGCTGTCAATTTGAAAAATTTTCCAAGCACATATTACTTTTGATTAGTACTCCATCAGAGAAAGGTGGATGTGTAAGAAACTTGTGTCCAATTGCCCTGGTTGTGTTGTAGCAGTCTTTTGTCTTCATTCAACAGTACATAATACTAAATGAAGAAAGGCTAGAAAAGGCTGAAATGGTTCATTAAGATTATACAAGTTTTATTGAAGTCCTACAGAAGTCACTAGATAGGCTCCAGTCAGTTTCAGATTAGGCTTATGGCTCAGGGGGTCGTCTTTGTAATCCACTTTTATCTTCATCACTTAGCAACTGTGTTCTTTTGTCCTTTTTTTAATAGGAGAGGTTCTGATTCTTCCTTAAACAGCTGTAACATGCTGTTTCCTGTTCATTCCACAGCTTGCTTAGAAAAGAACAACCTCTGCAACTGTACAGGTCCTGCAGAAATCTGGGGTGATTGCACTCTTGTCTTAAAAGTCCATTCTTGAATATCATGGCAGTCATTGAACAAATTGTGAATATCTCCATTTAATTTATAGGTTCAGAAGGTTTCTTGTGTAAGAATAGTAACTCTTTTGGAAAGATTTCACTGCTTATTAGAGGAGCCATTAATCAGTCTGGAGATGTTGGACTCAATGGAATTCTCAAATGCCACATGATAGCTGGAGTTCCCAGCAGCTGAGTAGAGCTGATCATCTTCTTTATTTTCTCTAGGGGTTAGAATCTTCTTCTCCCATTTCCTAGCCAATGAACATTTACTTTACAGTTAAATGAGGTTCAATTATAAAATCAAGTGTCTGCCAGAAATCTTGCACGTACCCTGGAGAATTCCAGAACTGCTTCCAATTAAAGGAAATGCTCCTGATCAGAGAGGGAACTGCTTACTTTTCTGACAAGGCTTGCTGCAATAATTTGAGAATACCATTCAAGGCAAATTGAATAGTTTTTCTTATAGGAACCTATCCCACTTTGGTGAATGAAAAATTTTCAAAATAATCTGCTAGGATTTTCAAAATAATCTTCCAGGAAGTTAGAATTATAGAATGGGTTCTGTTGGAAGGGACCTTTTAAGACAACCTAGTTCATGGTAGGGCACTGGATCAGGCTACCCAGGGAAGTGGTCACAGCACTAAGCCTGCCAGAGTTCAAGAAGTGTTTGGGCAATGCTCTCAAACATATGGTTTGATTTTGGGGTGGTCTTGTGTGGAGACAGGAGCTGGACTTACTGATCCTTTTGAGTCCCTTCCACATCAGGATATTCTATGATTCTTTCTTGTTTCCCCAGCGAGCTGGCCGAGGGGACCCTAAGGATGGCATACTAAGCTGCAGGTGAATGGAGAAGATGGCTGCTGGCCTACTGGCAGAGTGCTCTGCCCTTCTTGTGTGGAAACTGCTGTGCCACTCTTGGCTGCTAATGCTCCCCAGGGGCCTGTTCTACATGGCTTCCTGCTGCCTGAACCAGCTGTACGCCCAGCTGGCACTGCCCAGCTCTCATGAGATTGGTCACCTGCGGCTGGTGCCTACATGCACAGATCTCGAGGATGTCTGGGCCTGGAAACTCCTGTCAAGCAACCCCAGAGACCTTGCAGGCCTGGCACTCTTCTTAGCAGGCTGCAACTGTACACAGAATATTGCAACAAACCCTTTAAGCTTTCCCACCTGCTTGTTCTTGCGGCAGGTGGGATCACACCTGCACTGTCTCTTTGTACTCAACAGAGAGGCTACAGTGCATAAAGTCTCTCCTGTCTGAACATGGGGGGGAGAGCATAGGTCCTGCCTGTATGTCCCAACAGAGGCCATGGGTTTACTCCATGCTCTTGCTTGCAGCTCAAGTCCTAGTACACTCTTTCTGTACGGATCCCAGGTGGCATGAATAACCAGCTACTGTGGATGACTGAAGAGTGTTGTTGAGTTTTTGAAAGGGTTTAGGACTAGTTGCATATATTAAGAACCTTATATCAAAAAGAGGTGGAAACTTAGCCTTATGTTTGAGCCCATGCACGTGCATCAGGGTTTTGGTTTAAAACCGATGATGTTACTGCAAACAGCTGAAGTGGTATTGACAACACAATGTCTCTACTACCTTATTTTAAGGTTGTCTGAAAGTTTATTGTGCATTGCAAACACTTTTTTTTTTTTTTTATCTCAGCATTCACCTTCTTTGGCACCATTAAGTCAGTCTAGTTATAGTTTGTTCTGTTAGTATGTAAAATCTGCAAAGAGCTTTGAGACAAAAATCTTGTCTGAATGTTGCAAATCCTTCCCTCTACAGTCTTGCATTTTGTTAGAGCCTCCCACTGCCACTGAAGCAAATTAGATACTTGAGTGCAGACTCAGATAACGTTTGAAATTTCCTCCAAGCTCCACTGTTATGTATTTATAAGATCTATAAATGTCTTTACTGCTTTGTGTGGAGATACTTAAATCACTATAAATGCCTAAGATTCCCAAGATTTGTCATCTCATTTTGATTTTGTAAACCTTTAAAAAGCTCTAGAGAAAGTTACATATATTTGTTTATATCATTGCAGTTGACTGCTTTGTGTAATTTGTCTATCTGCTTTGAATTTGATTGAAAATGGAGGTACAAATACAGCAACAAAACAAACAAACAAACAAAAACAAACAAACAAACAAAAACAAACAAACAAACAACAAAAAAACAAACAAACAAACAAACTGTGGCATCTATTCTGCAGACAATACCCAGCAGGTAGCAGAAACTTTTAAAAGGTTGAGAGCAAATTTCCATTTTACTTCCCACCTGACTAATGTTCAGATAAGTTTGGATAAGCTTTGGATTATATCTCAAAACTCATTGTAACATGATATACCCATGGATACCTTTTGCCATTGCTAAATCTGCTATGTAGCATTCTTCACCTAACAAGGCAGGGAATACATAGATTGATATAGATATATATCTGTCAAGGGCTGTTTCATGCAGTGATAAATTCAGTCTCTTTCTGGCACTTTATTTATTTTCCATTTTAAAATAAAGGGTAGAAAGACATTTGAAAGCAATAGGGAACCAGTTCCATCAGCTGTTTTAGATTTCAGAAAGGAATTCCCCAAACACTGCGCAACTTCCTACACATCCATCAAGTGCTGTTCATTGTAATTATCCTGTTAGAGAGAGATACCAGCTCTGATAACAAGTGGTACTATGGAGAAAGCCTTTTACTCTTTTTTTTTTTTTTTTTATCGGATTCCAGTTGGTATTTTATAAAGCAGACTAGTTCAAAGCAAGCTGGCTGCAACACTTTCCTGGAGTGGCCTTGAAAGACACAGTTCCTTGAATGTATTCTGGCTTTATATATTGTTAAGATTTTACTATATGGCTTGAATGACCTAGTTGGGTAATCTACAATGGCTGAACAAAACACTGGAGTTGGTTCATTTATAAACTACAGAGATACATGCTGGTGCAGATTTTGCTGACTGCTGTGAGAAAATGTGGTGCTCTTCTCAGCAAATAGCATCATTGGTTTCGGGGTTGGATGACTGATTAAGTTAAAGACCATTTAAGTTTGGTGTTGAGATAATGTTGGATTTCACTGCTCTTGCTGTGTGTCAAATGTTTTAATAATTCCTCAAAATTCCCCATGGAAATCATGAGACCTACCATCAGCCAGTAAATCACACAAGTATTGTTTTATCCCACTTATAAGTACTGGATCTGAGAGACTTTTAGCTTGAATTTTCTTATGATTTTTTTTCTTATGAATCTTTTCAGAATAATCATTTATTTAAAAAAAAATAAAAATATGTTATTAAGTTGACCATTGTTATTTGGAATAGCATAGGGGTGTGTCACCCTGTGTAAAAGAAAATGTGGTCAGTAGTACTACTACTGGAAGTTGTATATTAAATATTTGAAACATGGAATATATTTCTGGAAAACTGGAAACGTGCCTCATGTTTGGTCCCATATGATACATTGAAGTAAATGAGGGAGACATTACTTTTAAGGCTATATAGCATCGGTGTAAGTGGGCAAAAAAATATTGTTGTTAACAGCTACATTTTGGTTTATATTTAAAATAAATTTAGTCTAGTTCCTTTTTTTTTTTTTTTTTTCTAATTTGCAGCTTTTCTCATTCACAGTTATGTAATCCCATCAGTACACAGTCATTGTGTGGGACCTTTGTGTCACATCCTGCAGCACGTGAAGGCTCAAGAGAACTTGCTAGTAGTGCTTTGGTGTCAGTTCCTGAAGTCAGCCTAGATCCAAATGACATAAAGCGAAACTTGAGCTTGAAATGGGAAGTACTGGGAAACACAGAGCACAGGCAGCCATGTGGAGGTGGTCTGTCTGGGCTAACACTGACCTGCAGCAAATACAGACATGAACTTGATACAGAACATTTGGAGCATATCTAGATCCTTCTAAGAACTGAGATTTGGAAGTGTTTTTTTTTGTTTGTTTGTTTGTTTTCTGCTTGGGGTGAATATAAAAATTTGAAGTCATGTATGTTTTCCCTGAATGAACAAATACATTTCCTAGTGAGTTCCAAAGGTTTGTGTCTGAATAAAAATACCTATTTCCTAGTACCTAGCACCAGTAGAAATCCAATGAGCTTATTTAAATACTTTTTTTTTGATGTCTGAAAAAAATATGTTAACAATGTTTGCTTTTTATTATTTGCAGGGGAACGTGACCTTTTCCTGCTCAGAACCACAAATTGTTCCCATCACCTTTGTCAGCTCCAGTAGAAGCTACTTGCTACTGCCTGGCACTCCTCAAATTGATGGCTTGTCAGTCAGTTTCCAGTTTCGAACATGGAATAAAGATGGCTTACTCCTGTCCACTGAATTGTCTGAAAAGTCAGGATCTCTCTTGGTTTACCTCCACGGTGGGAGATTGACACTACTTATTCAGAAAGTGACAGAAAACCCTGTGGAAATTAGTGAAGGTACTTTATTCTTGTTTTCTTTCACCCATCTCTCTTTAAAATACAAAGGTTCAATGCCACTGGAAGAAAGGATAGCAAAGTACAGAAGCACCAAATCTTGTTTTCTGTTTACAATTTTTTTTCGCACTTTCCAGTAGTATCACCACACTGTGCAGTTTGAGGAAGATCTGAACATGAAGAGTTGGTATCCTACAATCTTCAGACTAATTCTACTCTTCAGTTATCTCTGTGTTTTCAAAGTCCTGCTAAATTTTCTTCAGTCAGGTCACATGCAGACCTTCATGATTCTTGTCCTCACGTTGTGCTGAAGTAAGCTGGGAGCCAGCTTGGCAGCTATGCTTTTCCCTAGTACAAGTTAACACAGCCTCAGAGCTGATTTTCTTCATCTGGCTGTTGCTTTACACTCTCCTTTTACACTACACTCAGAAGAGAAACTGACCATGGGCTTCCTCTCTTTAAACTCCCTCACTGGCATCCTAAGCCAATTTGCAAGCTGCTTTGTGCAGCTGTAGGGATGCAAATGGGTGAAATGTGGCTGCCTCTCTGACCTAAAATTCAGGGGAAATTGCTTGTAAACATTAAACAGACCAGCTGTGTTTCATCTCCAAGAGACAAGGAAACAGTTTCAAACTGTACAGCAGAGCAAGGACCAGGGTGGCCCAGCTGTCATCTCAGTGTGACCTATATATGCCATGCTGGTTTCCTGAGCAGAAGTATTCTAGCCCAGGGCCGTGCACGTCTCATACTACTATGCAACCATGCTGGGTGGGAGTCCAGGAAATTCATTTCCACGTAGGCTGAATACACAGTTTCCAAACATGGATGTATAATAGACTTGATGGAACTCAGAGGTCTGAATAATATAGTATTTTCTAAAAAGAACATCTGTTTAAAAATATGTAATATAAAATATTCTTGGTGCAGACTAAAAGAGTACAGTTGTGTCTATTAAATGAAATATAGAGAAAATCTGACAGAGTTGTCAAAGCAGAGCTGCTCCGTATGTGTATTTTATTCCCTTTTGTGATAGAAAATGAGGCAGCCGTGCATCTGTCCTTATTCATGTGGATTGTTACAGCTTCAGTTTGCTGCAACCAAATGTTGAAAACTGAATTTCCAGCCTTTATTGCAGTCCTAATTAGATTGACAAATCTGAGATAATGCCAATATTTGTTTGGGTGTACTTGTTTTTATGTAGGTCTGAAATCATGATCCTGAGCCCAGCCTTTGGTGCTATCCAAAACATTGCTAAACTGCCTACTTACACATGGAAAATGTGCAAAAATTGCAAGTGCCATGTCTTGCAGATGTTGATACTCACAATAAAGTCATGTTTAGTCAAGAATGGACCTGGTTTTGACCCAAATGTGGCCTATTTTTTCTTGGCATCTTTTCAAACTTAAACACAGTATTTCATAATGGACTTGTTCTAGCTGTAAACTCACCCTTTTTTTTTTTCTTTTTTTTTTTTTTTTTGTTCCCCCTGAGAAACTGGCGTCTTATTCTATGGAAATTGTGTGTGCGTTAGCAGCCATTACTCCAGAAATAGTTTCATTTTCAAATTCCTAACGAAATGGCTTTTCATACACATAACACCCATAATTTTTTTTATTTTGTTTTGAACTGTTCTCACACCTCTTTGTGTCACTAAGTGCTAGTTTGTTTCTTCTGAAAGCTACATTAACAAAAAATATCCCATTAGGGAGGGGAATAAATGCTAGTTGTCTGAGCCTGGTCTCAGAGACTGCAGCTTGATGGTAGTGTACGTCAAAGTGTGATTGGTTTACTTTTGATCTGCACCACTGTGTGAGAGCTCAGAGATTTGCCCACTGCTTTTCATGGTTGTCAATGTAGAGGATGTGGAGTTTCTTTGTATCCTTGTGGTGCTATTTCAAGAGCCCCAAGATGCAACATTGATTTTCAGAATATGAAAATGGAGGTGTTATTTCCCTGTTACTTTGCATAAATGTATAACAGAAAGAGGCTACCCAGTACTATAATCTCCCACATCCCTTTAAAGGTTCCTGGACAGAGCAACAATCCCAGATCTCAGAAAACCCATGTCAAAATCTAATATATATGGGCACATCCATCAATAAGAGTGTGTGCTAACTTAGTGCTGAAGGGTTTTAAGGACAGAAGTCCTACTGAAACATATTGGGGATTGTCAGCTTTCATAAGGAGACTGAGAGAAGTTATGACCATTTCACTGAAACTAATCCTCTGAAATCTCAGGTATGCATTTAGTCCTAGAAGTTTAGTAGAGATCTCTGCACAATCCTGTGAGCTACAAGCATTTCCCAACAGACTCAAAGTAATCATAATCACCCTCTCTCCCTTCCCCCCCTCTCCCCCCCCAATGTTAGTAGTGTACTACCAAGAAGGTAAAGGGCACAGCAAACATGCATGAGTGCCTGCAGTATAGCAAGCAGGTTGGATCAAAATGTGCAGATGATCTACTTAAATACTCCTAAAAACTTTCCCTTTCTTGGACCTTCTATGCCAGTTTACTTTCAGAGGCAATGAGTTCTTTTCAGCTGCTGTTTTTGCCCATGTTGGGTTCTGCTGCCTGTTTGTGATCACAGGTTGGAAGCAAAGATTTGAAAAACGTTGTTGTCTCCTGCACTTCTTTTTTCACATTTTTTCACCCTTTGTGCCTTTTTCTTTTTTTTTTCTTTCCCAGGCACCAATCTCCATGATGGTCTTTGGCATTCAGTTAACATCAATGCCAGAAGGCATCGAATTACCCTGACACTGGATAACAATGCTGCCACTGCCAGCCATGCAACCATTGTCTCAAGGATCTACTCGGGAAACAGCTACTATTTTGGAGGTAAGTTGTTTCAGATAGACATAGGACAGGTTTTCATGATGGAAATTCTCAGATTCTGAGGTCTCCCAAATGTACTTTGCACCTAATAGCAAATGCTGTAGTAACTGATTTTTTACCACCTATTGAGTTGCATTGCAGACTAACACAGCTGTTAAAGTGGACTAGCTGAGGAGTAGCTATATCTAGCTAGTAAAACATGCAAAAGCCGCGTATCTGTACTAGGCATGAGTGTTTTTTTCTGGTTAAAAGGACAGAGCACTGCCAGTTGCATTAAAATTCCTGTAGATATCACTGTCCTGATCAGGCTCAGTGATTTTAGACTTCAGAACATAATTGACACATGGCTCAGATCTACAAAGGTATTTAGATACTGTGCTTTCATTGAAATGAATGTAGGTTTAGCTCAATTCTGAAAATGGAAAGAATCTTGAAAAATACTACCTCCTGTTTTTTGGAGTGTAAGCATTAATGTAGATAAAGGGAGTGTCATCAACTGTCTATTTTAGCTCTGACATACTTCTGCGTTTTGCTTACTGCAATGAGGCTCTGATCTGATGAACTCTCTGGATACAGTGCTAAGTGAGGATATGCAGAAGGCTTTGGATCTCAGAATTGGCCAAATACCATAGAGGTTCAGACAGAAATGATTTTCTTGCTTGCTGTCCCTATGATTTCACCATTATAATCTGTGCCTTGCCTCAGCAGCAGAATTTAACCCATAATAATTTCATAGTTTGCACAGCTTTTCTTATGGGAGTCAATTGCTATTGACTGTGAGGTTTAAAGAACATGCAAAAAATGAATTTTGATTTTGCCTAGCACATGCAAAAATCTCATACTCTGATATCTCTAGTGGTGAGATATCCTTTATTTCTTCCCTTTTTTATTTTATTTTTTTACTGAAAGATTTATAGCACAGAAAGTTGCATAGCTCAAAAAACACTTGGAATAATGACCGTCCAAGCCTTTACATTAGGAAATCCCAGCAGAAACAGATGAACATTCCAATATTCTTCTCTGCCTCTTTTCTTTTTTCCCACAGGGTGCCCTGACAATTTCACTGATTCCCAATGTTTAAATCCCATTACTGCTTTTCAAGGCTGTATGAGGCTCATCTTTATTGATAACCAGCCCAAGGACCTCATTTTAGTTCAGCAAGGCTCCCTGGGGAATTTCAGTGATTTACACATTGATCTGTGTGGCATCAAAGACAGGTAATTATTGTTTCCTCTTTCTTGTGTTTGTTCTTTTTTCATCCTAGTGGTTTATAAATACAGGTTACATTAAGTGAAAATTCTCATCTGCCAACATTAAAGATATTAGGCATAATAAAGCTACTAATAGGAAATATTACAGCAAAGATAGAAGAGCTGGAGGGGAAATAGTTTCAATTACATGAGGCTCTCTTCACATTGACTTGTATGAAATAGAGTATGCAAATCCAATCAAACTACAGATTGGTGAAAGGATTAAATTTTATGCATAAACAACATTTGATTGCTTTGAAGTTTTAGAGGGAAATGAAAGAGAAGGAAAAATTATTTGATTCATCAGAACATGTCATCCCCTTAATATACTAGTTGTTTTTGTTTAGGTAGATCATTTACAATTTTTCTTCTTAGCCATTACAGCACAACACTTCCATAATGAAGATATGGTACACCTCATGCAGCATATTGACCATTTGGTGCAAGTCAATATTATGATGAAATGCCTGTGTCTACCAAACACACATTTTAGTTTATATACTGATCTGAATCACTAGGAAGTTAAAATCTGAGAGAAAGCCCAGATTTTCTATTCAAGGGTAGAGAAGAAATAAGCAACCAACATTTTTTACATATTTCCTAATTTCTTCTTTGCTTCTTATGGATAGATTCTGGTTTTGTTTGTTTTTAAATCTGGCTAAGTTCTGAAAAATGAAAATGGAACTGCTGAAAATTTCACATGCTTCAGATAGTTAAGTGAATAGTAAGGATATTTTGGAAATACGTTAGGAGCTTAAGGACTGAAAGTAATTTTTCAGACATACTGCTTAGGTGTAGCTGAAAGCTGATCTCATTGCTTTCTATAGGAAGGATCAGATTGCAAGAGCTTGTAAGGTGGGAAAAATCGCTCTTATATGAGATTTTTGTGCTCGTGTTTTTTAACTTGTATGGAGAAAATATTGACTCTGTTGATCAAATCTGTTAAGTTTAATGATGACCAAATTCAGGTAGATATGAATTTCACACTTGGTGTGTCTGGAATGGTAGATGGAATTGATAAGAAGCAGCATATTTAACAAAGGGGATAAAAATATAAACTTTCCGGTGAATTAAGAGATAAAAAAAGCATTGTGTTTTCTTTCCTGAAAGAACAGATTCTTTAATATTAAGTGGACCATTCAATGCCAATTTGTATATTGAAACAGAAGAAAATGCTTCTGGTATGTGGCAGAGGTGCTATGAGAAATCTCCAATGCCTTCACTGTCACAGAGTCCAGGCTGCAAAGTAAATCTATGGTACTACTCCAAGTGTCATTCTCATCTTTGGCATCCCAAAGATGACAAGCATATGTCTGTGATGATACCATAAACTATTTAAGGCAAGGATCCAAACATAATAAGAAAGGTGGAACTTTATTTTGCATAATCATTGGCTTGAATATGTCATGCATAAATAAAAGCTATACGTGGTCTAGTGAAGATGAATGTGGTCTGTTCCACTACGATTCTCTGGACAGCCTTAAATTTATGTCTCTACTATATGATCTACGTGAAAAAGACAAAGTAGATTAAAAAGGGGGGAAAAGACAATTGATAATTGTCAAAAGTGTTTCTCTTATGGCTGGATTCAGTGTAACAGTGGACCTGCCCTGAAGGGAAAGATAGAAACCTTCAGTGTAGTAAAGTATTGTACAGAAATTCTGAAATTCCCCTGGTAACCAAAAGGAATGAGCATTGCTGGAGTCATGGGGATTGCAGCTTTCTCGGGTAGTGAAACACTCAGTGCGCTCTCCCTGTCTGGCAACTCCAATAATTCTGCTGAAATTATTTTGCAGGGAAGAAAGAAGGATTTTTTTTTTTTTGTCCAAATCATACTACATATTTCTCACATCCTGAGAGAAGTTAAATTTACAAAATAGATTTCAGGAAGTTACAAAAATTGTTGAAAGATTCTCAGGGTGAAGTACTGCTGGTGTAGAACTGAAGTTGAGTGATCATAGCAGAAACAGGCCATTGGAAAGAGGGATGAAATTAATGAAAATGAATTAAGAAAATACAGATAAGAGGCAAATCCTTTGTATTATTTTCCAACAGGGTTGTTCCTAATCCAGTGGTTAACCTGAGGAAAGCCTGACCATGAAAGTATTCTTGGAGTGTATTCTTCCTAACATTTTTTGAACATTTTATGTTCTTCAGGTCCATATTATGGCCTAATTAGTTAAACTATAGATGGAAGGTTGGGGAGAACAGGAGATTTGAATTCAGAATTCTGGCAAATTGAAGGTCAGCCTTGCTGTCTAGTCTGCATGGTCTATGCTTGAGTATGTTTTCAAGCCTTATTCAGATTGGTTCATTGCACAAAGTGTCTGACACATCATTTACAGTCTCTGTAGTTTAACTAGTGCTCTATATTGCAGCAGCTCTGGGCTTGTAGGAAAGTTGGGGTCTGGCTCCAGGCATGCAATATGCAGCTGCTCATTCTATATATGTAAGGAGTGTTAAAATTCTGTAAGAGTATCATCCACAAGAAATATGATCTCCCCTTTCTTAATTGTAAGATTTATTGCGATGTGCACTGTAAAAGCACGTTTTTGTAATTTTAACACATGTGGGAATTGTGTTTCTTAATTAACATGTAAATGGGGCATTTGTCTTAGTTACCTAAGCACAGAAAGCTCTTTGAGGAATATGCCTCTATTTAGAAAGCAATTCATTTGTTACAGGCTTGTAGGCCAAGCTTGTTCAGACCTGGGCTCTGAAAACAGTAGCTAGACAGCTCTCTGCAACTTATTTTGGCTCTTAGAAAGAGGATTAACGGGTTTATTTTGAAAGATGACAAGTTGGGACTACTGTTGATGCTGGCAGTATGTTTTTTTTTTGTTTGTTTGTTTCTTTTTTTTTTTTTTTTTGAGAGAGAGAAAGAGCAATGAATTGTGTAAGCTTATTATGCTCATGCCAGGATTCTCAGTATAAAGCGATGAGCCTCCATTAATTTAAATGGAGCTACCTGAGGGACTGAGCCTTAATACCTCATCATTTCATCTCTAGTATTTGAACTATATGTGTGCTCAGGTGAACTTTGCATGAATGCCTTCTGTATCCCTGTATTTGTTTTTTCTATTCTTCAGTACCTATTTCTGGGAGATAAATGCTTTGACACTAGCTGAGGTATTAAACAGTACTCAGAAAAAAATGGCGATCTCCATAGGTATATACAGAATTTTGCCTTCTTTTCATTGGTGTCTGAGAAGACAGTGCCAAGTGAAAATGCTTTTGCAGACCTGAGTGAATCTATTGTCATTGACCCTGCTTTGAGCAGGTGACTCTTGCCAGGGACCTCCAGAGTTGTCTTCCAGCCTCAGCATTTCTGTGAATGAGACCACCCGGTAGCTGCTCTGGTCCTGCCTGAAAGGGTAGTCTAGGAGGTATCTGAGACAGCTGGGATTAGCAGGTAACGCAAAGGAAACTCAAGTCTTACATGCTTTCATGAGGACATTAAGACATTGTGCAGTCTGAAGTAGTCAACACAGACTGTCCTTATGATGGAAGAAGGCTAGTTAGTGCTATCTCCTAATAAGAAACCGCCTGTTTGCAGCCCTCAGTTGCAGTGCCATAATTGTTTTTATTCCTACTGTGGCATCTGAAGTCATCTCTGATTTTCCATGCCCTTGGATGGTACCTGCATGTCATTCTCAGGTGACATAACCTGTGCAAGGAGAGGCACCCCCAGTATGTTCAGAGCTGTGTCTGTTCCACAAGTTCTGGAAAGTAATACCATATTCCCTTTGCCTCCTTCAGGGCACAGCTCTTCCTGGATACTGTTCCCAACACCTTGTGAAATGGGAAAATACAATTTGTAGGAGGAAGCAATCTTTCTTGTAACAGTGCATGTGTAGGACTTGGCATTACCTCTGCTGCCTTTATGCTGTTAATCTAGTAAACTGTTTTTCTTTTGTTCATAGTATGTATATTTACTGTGGTTGTCCAAATGCATAGATTTCTCTGTGTTTTCTGAGGGTGTTGTAAAGTGTGGTGCTTACATTGCTCTTGTTACGAAGTGTTAGATGTCATAGCTGTTTTCCAATGCATTTATCCCCACGTAAAGAAAAAATGAGATAATATGCTCCTAAGCCATAGAGGTCTGCTCCATATGTAAAAGAAAGCGTATTTGTTTAATTTTCTCTGTCTTTGTTGTTGCCTCTTCAGGATTTCTGCTTGGTTAGGAGTGCCAGGTACTCAGCAGGGTGTGTTTGCTTTACGCTGAATTAATGAGTCAGAAAAATATAGCAGCCGAGTACAGAGCAGAGAGTAACAAGGCAGAGATGAAACATGGAAGTGAAGGTGCCATGAAGTCCCTGAATTCAGAGACTTCTGGGGAGGGAAGGAGGTGTCTTTGGGTACGTATGTATACTTTGCAGAAGTACAAGTCCTACACTGACAATCGTGACCACAAGCCATCTGGCAAATAAATGCAGGCTCTTTGTGGATTTATTTTTAGTTCAGATTGATGTAAATTAGGTTCGTAGAGGGATAATACAACCCTCACTCCTGGGATTTTGCATTGTAAGTGGTTTTTGGGAAAGAAGGCGTCTTCTAAGGTGATATAATAAATCTAAAAGCTTCCAGGAAAAAGCCTGACTGGTAAGAAAGTCTGGTGAGAACAGAATGATTCTTTCTGTCTTTGGCCATTAATCCTGATGTTTAGCCATCACAGGTTCATTAGCACTCTTGCTTTTAAATTTCTGTTCTCTATGAACATATTCAGAACTCAAATAAAATGGGTCTAGAAAACATTCTCTGCAAAGAAAGACTGATTAAGTGCTGGTTCTTCAACCAGAAAAGAGATTGCTGAGGGAAGGCAGCATAACGGGCCTCAGGTGGTAAAAGGCTGCTGCAGTTCAGAAAAGAATAATCTTCTCTGGCCAAGATGTACAGGAGAACACCTGTGGCATAGGCTGCCTGAGGAAACTGTCAAGTCACTGGAAGACTTTAAGAACAGGTTACAT